AGGCGAATTTTATCTCCACCAAAAATAAAGTAGCTTTATATAACCTGATACGGAACCTGAGACAAAATATCCTTTGTCATTTCTTAACCTTAGCATCTAAAGTTGGTAACATCGAATTTTGATACGTTAAACCGATTGAAGACCGTTTACACGATTTTCGTAAAACGGTTTAGTAATGCCAAAGTTGTTTCAGAAGAGGTTTGGATTTACTAAAACGGTTTTAATAACATCTGTATTAAGAGACGTTTACAGGACATCTAACACCGGTTTTAACTAAAACGGTTTTTATTAAAACGGTTTTACCAGTGCGTGTAAACGTAGTCATAGGGTGCACTCAATGGGTGCATTCAGTACTACAACCGCTCACTGAGCGCTCAGTGAACGCTTGCATCTTATTGGCATATTTCGTTAGAACTAAAAATATAGACCAGAGACAAGCGCTCATTGAGCACTCAGTGAACGGTTGTAGTACTGAATGCACCTAATGTCGAATCTTGAGCAATGTCTATGGATTTCGTCCTATGTATACAACCTCTTTGCCCTAAGCTCGGATCTACAATAGAGTTTTAAACCTTAAGCCATAAAAAATGAACGAATCATAGTCAATTATTCTTCTCACATTCGGCTGTAATTTGGCTAGTTTCTTATCGCTTAAAACATCTATTATAGATCCGGACTAAAAAGACCGCAGCACAGATTTTTGCATAACACATAGGACGGAATCCATATGCGGGGTCTATAATAGAAGTCGTAGCGGTCGTAGAGTCTTAAATCGTAGAAAATTAACTAATCACAGTTAATTATTCTTCTCATATTCGATTCTGTGATTGATCAATTTTCTACGACTTAAGACTCTACGATTGTTACGACTTCTATTGTAGACCCCGCAATAGACGTTGCTCAAGATTCGAGAAGGTCTTAAGCTAGTGCATGAACCAATCAGAGCTGTATTAGCATCTTAAGACATTGCTTGAGATTAAGACCGGACTATGGATTCCGGCCATAGGCCAGTATTCATAGTTAGATCTTATATTCAAGACCGTCTTGAGTACAATTTAAAGAAGTCATGAACCAATCAGAGGGCCGCTTTAGCGACTTAAAACATTACTAAGATGATCTTAAGGGCCCTCGCAGACAAAATTTCTGTAAGAGTAACCTTAAGACGTGAACTTAAGCCAATGAACCAATCAGGATACTTCTTTAGATCTACGTAATCTAACGGAAATAAAAATAGCAGTAAACTTATCCATAAGGCGAGTTTCAACCGATTGAAATTCGCCTTATTGCGAGGTTATGGATAAGTTTACTGTTATTTCCATTTCCGTTAGATTACGTAGACCTAAAGCAATA